GAGTATAATATTTCAATATCTAAGCTAACCTGAAACTAGCAAACTATTAGAATATTTTTAGTTTTATACTAGTTCTCTATTATAATGCCAAATCACATATTCTAAAGATTAATTAAAATTATGATATAGTGCTAATTGAAATTATTTGTAGATTTATTATGTCACTTGATGTCTTTTTATACTATCTTAGTATTTTAAAAAGCAAGTAAATAAATGTAAAAGAGTAAGTACTTCAGTATAGAATTTAATAACTAAATAGACATAAAAAGGTAAGCACTTTAGTATAAAATTTAGTATTTAAATAAATAATACAGAGAGTTCGTATCTTTGAAAGAAAATTAAATATCTAAATGTGCATAAAGATTAATATTTTCACCACAAACTTAATACCCAAATAGCTTAAAAATTAAAAAGTATAATAGATGTTCATTAACCTAAAGTTCTAATGCCTATAGACTACTACTAACAAATAAACATCTATTTAATAATTAAATAATAATAGATATCTATTAGTATAAATTATAATAGAAATATTTATTAATATATAGTACATAATAATAATAAGCACTAAAACTGACAAAAACTAATGAACCTATCAAATATGACAAATCTGTTAATTATAATACAGTTAATATTATTATTATTATTATTATTATTATTTCTAATATATTTATTATTTATATTATTTCTATTATTTTTATCCTTATTATTATTTATTTCATATTTATCATTATTAGTATATCTGTTAACATTATTATTATTGTTAATAGTATCATAATTATAATTATTGTTATAGATTTTCTTTAATTATAATTTTCTTATATAAAGGATATAAAAATGCCTTGAAAAAGAACAGATTCTGAAACTGTATTCAATATACATTTAATAATAATAATAAATGACAATAACATATTACAAACATAAAACTTATAATTTTATTTTTGTTAACCAAATGAATTTTCTAATTAACATCATGTCAAGTTGATTGGATTTAAGTCATAGTTATTGTCTTTCTGATTTCAAATTATAGTTAACTTATTTGACAGATCGAATAATGTTAAAAACGCATTCAGATTATTTGATCATAATTGTATTTAGGTTATTTAATCATGTGATCACAAATAATAAATGGAAAAGATAAAGAAAAGTGATTTTAAAGGTAAGGAATATAGAAGAAAAAATAAGAATATATAAAAAATTATCACACTTAAGTTATTTAATTAGATTATTTAGACACATTTAGATTAGTAATTTTAGATTATTAAGTTATATTTAAATTATTTAGTTATATCTAATTTATTTAGATTATTTATTATTTAATCATATCTAGGTTATTTTATTACTAAATAACCTCTAAGCCGTTTATGACTAAATAATATAATTATATTATTTAGTCATAAAACAGTTAAACTTAATTATTAATATAAAAAATTTTTTCATTAAAAATTTAATTAATCTAATGATATTGGAAGGGTTTCTAGGAAAATCAGGTTCCGAGAAATTTTTTACTTAAATTAAGAGCTTAATACATTTTAACCTAATAACATCAAAAACTAAAATGCAATAAAAATAATAAAAATCTCAATTTTGTTAAAAAATTCCCGGAACCTGATTTTCCTAAAATCAACCATATATTAAATTGATATATTAAAAATTAATTAAGTATATTTATTAAATATTTCATACTGTAATTAAATAATTGTATTAATAATATTTGATATTAATAATCTAAAAAAAAAAAAAAAAAATCAGATAAAGATGATCATTTGTAATAATATATATTACTGCTTAAACTTAATATTGAACAATGCACGCGTCATAAGAGTGAGGATTTCTCACATCGATTATCATACAACTTTAATTAGAGTAGTCTCATCTTGTCACACAATTTTCACGAAAAAAACTATACTAAATAGTAACAAACATTGTCCGAAAGTTCCCGACTGCATTAGATATAAAATCTTTTTTTTCTTTTTTCTTTTTTTTTACCCTTGACCCAATTTTTTTCGTCTTGTACTTTCAGTTTAACCATGTCTTACAGTTCTGTTCCTGGTGTTACTGTTCTCGCCCCAGTGAGCGAACCCCAAGCTCAAATACTTACTGCAGAAGCTTTGGAGTTCCTTGCAAAGCTTCAGAGAGCTTTTAACCCTACTAGAAAGTCATTACTTCAGCGTCGTATTCTTCGCCAACAAGAATTAGACCGTGGCATTCTTCCTGATTTTTTACCACAAACGGCTTATATTAGAGAAGATAATAACTGGCGTGGAGCTTATCCTGCTCCCGGTTTGATTGATAGACGCGTTGAGATTACTGGTCCAGTTGACAGAAAAATGGTTATTAATGCTTTGAATTGTGGTGCTTATACTTATATGGCTGACTTTGAAGGTAATTATTCGCCTCTTTATGATATTTTTCAATGTATCAAGCATTGATAAAAGATGAAAAATTTTAACCAATAATATATTAGAAGTATCTACTAATTTGATATTTTAAACCTTTTCATTCATTGTATAGATTCCAATGCCCCGACATGGGACAACAACCTTGATGGGCAAGTAAACTTGCGCGATGCCATCCGAGGAACCATTACTTATACTAATCCTGGAAATAATAAAAAATATGCATTACGCAAAGATAATAAAATTGCCACATTGATAGTCCGGTAAATTTACTTTATATTTCTTTTTTTTTATTTTGAGCAGAATAAAATAATATTGAATTATAAAAAAATCTGACAGCCCCCGTGGATGGCACTTGGAAGAAAAGCACGTTTTAGTTGATGGAGAACCTGTTTCCGCATCGATCTTTGATTTTGCTTTGTATTTCTTCCACAACGCCAAAAAATCTATTGAAGTTGGTATTGGGCCTTATTTCTATTTGCCAAAGATGGAATCTCATTTAGAGGCAAGGTAGAGTAGTTATTAATAAGGTCGTCTTAACTTTTTTTTCTAAAATTTTTATATTTAATTCTTTTTTTTTATATTGCTTTAAGGCTTTGGAATGACGTATTCTGTGTCGCTCAAGATCTTATTGGCATCCCTCGTGGTTCTATCCGTGCTACCGTTTTGATAGAAACCATCCTTGCCGCATTTGAGATGGATGAAATCATTTACGAACTTCGTGAACATTCATCTGGTCTTAATTGTGGTCGATGGGATTATATCTTCTCTGTAATTAAAAAATTCCGTAATAATCCTAACTTTGTTCTTCCAGATCGTGGTGATGTAACCATGACAGTTCCATTTATGGATTCTTATGTACGCTTATTAATTAAAACATGCCATCGACGTGGTGTGCATGCTATGGGTGGTATGGCGGCTCAAATTCCGATCAAGAATGATCCAAAGGCAAATCAAGCTGCATTGGATAAAGTTCGAGCTGATAAATTACGTGAAGTTAAAGCTGGACATGATGGTACTTGGGTTGCACATCCGGATCTTGTTAAGATTGCCTTGGAAGTTTTTAATGAAAATTTAAAAACTCCAAATCAAATTTATATAAGACGTGAAGATGTGAATATAAGTGCATTAGATTTAATGAATACGAATGTACCAGGAGCTATTACTGAAAATGGTATCCGTAGTAATATATCAGTTGGATTAACTTATATTGAATCGTGGTTGCGTGGACTTGGATGTGTACCAATTCATAATCTTATGGAAGATGCAGCCACGGCAGAAATCTCCCGTTCGCAATTATGGCAATGGGCTCATCATGGATCTCGCACTTCTGACGGTAAAACTGTTACAGGCGCATATTTACTTAAATTACTTGATGATGAAGTTGCAAAATTAGAAAAACAATTAGGTCCACAACAATTTGGTGCTAGTAAATACCCATTAGCTAAAAGATATTTAGCTAGTCAAATTACTGGAAAAGATTATTCTGATTTTATTACTACCTTATTATATGATGAAATCACAAGTGTTCATAATAAGGCTAAACTTTAATGAATTTTAGTTGCTTTAAAATTTTTAAAATTGGGTTGTTAATGATAAAAGCGAACATTAGTATATATTTATTTTTGTTTGAATAATTATTATATTTGAATTTTATCATATTTCAATGTATATTAATAAATATACTTTATAATAAAGCATGAACCATTTTTTTATTTTAAGATAATTATAAACAAATAATAAATAAATAAATATATATTTTACAAAATAATAATAAAAAAAAAAAGAAAAAAAAAAAGTATGTACTGAAAATATTATATGTACGCAAATTTAATTATATAAAATTAAGCTATTTGTTGACTATTTGTGTATTATTTATGGTTTTCACAGTTTGTTTACAAGAAAAGATAAAACTTGTTTTTTTTTGAGAATTTTGTAATTTACTAAGAATTTTAATTTTAATTGGTATAATAATAATAAATGTATTTATGTAATGTGTATATATATATGTTTTTTTTTTTTAAAAAAAAAAAAAAAAAATCACAGACAACTTCCTATTTTTTTTTTTTTTTTTTTTCTTATTTCTTTTCTTATTTAGAAGAAATGAATTTATATTATAATGCCTAATTAATGAATTCATCCATAAAAATTTATCATTTCACAAGATGAAATGATTTTTTTTTTTTAAAAAAAAAAAGAAAAGTAAAGATAATATGTGAAGTGAAGTAAGTGAATTAATTAAAGGTAAATATAATAATGAAAGAAAAAAAGAGAGATTCACTTTTTTCCTTCCAGTTAAACGTTATCTAATTTGTAGTATAAATATTTTGTGAATAATATGATAAATAAAGTAATAAAGAAATGGAATAAACTACCAATGAACAATAAAAAAAGAAAACTAATAAATTAACAATAAATTCAGGATTTACGATTGTTATTCCTAAATACGTATCCATATGTTAGATATGGCATACCGTTGAGTTACCTTACCCAAAATTAAAGTCTATGGACAATTGACTTCGATTTCTTCTTATAAGCGATCATATGATAACATGTTTTTATTTTCATTTATCATTTTTCAATCATCCTTCTTTTTTTTTTTTAGCTAACATAAAGGTTAACAAAATTTCCTCCAGCAGCTAGCCTTACTTCAAATGCCATTAAAACATCTTCATCTGAATTAATTGTAATGTGATCTCCATCTTCATCTTGATACTTAATACGTAGGGGAATACTTTCGTCACGCCTTGTAGTACACAAACGTATCTTACGTTCTACACGATCACATAATTCTTTATATTCAATATCTTTAGGAACAACGATCACAAAAATGTCTTCAGCATAATTTACTTTAATTTTCATTGTTGTGTGGCTATACTTCGAATATTGATTACCATTTTCTACTCCATTGGTAGGTGATGATAAGGCACTATTCGAAATCGGAATATTAGTATTAATACCATTTGTATTAGATGTCTGTGATGAAGTACTTGATCCGCTGTGTCGCAGATGTGATTCCGATTGAACCCCGTTACTCATTGCTATATTGTCATTAGGAAGATCAGGAAAAGGTTCCATATTTTCCCATTGATCTTCTTGAATCGCATGTATATTTGAATTACTTGCAGATCGTAAACGGTTTGAACTAGGTGCTGAGGTTTGTTGCAAAACTGGAGTAGGTCCAACAGATGCACGTTGCAACGGTGGAACAGGATATTCGTCATCATTTCCCATCATAACTTTGGCTACTGTGTCTGCAAGAACGTTAGTTGATTGCTGTTGCTCGACACTTTTTCTTTGCCAAATATTAGAATGCGAAGTTGTACTAGCACTACTACGAGCAGATGGAGCTGGAGAACCCGGATAAGAAGGTGGAGGAGAATGAGGAGAATGAGGAGAATTTGGAAAATAACTTGATTCTCCTTGATGATGTATGACACTGGATGGAAACGTTGCCATTGTAGGTGGAGCGGTCGTAGACCCATTACGTGATGTATGCAACATGGACAAATTTGTATGAGTTCGATATTGAGGTAGATTATTTGGGTTGCCTGGTAATGGAGGAGAACCAGGGTTCAAGTTATAAGGTGGAGGTGCCGTCCCATCATCTGTTTTTGATCTCGTTCTTCCATTAGAAGATGTAGGCAATTGTCCATAGGGTAACGATTGACTTTTAATTTTATTATTATTATTCCCCCAATCGTCTTCCTCTTCCTCTTCATAATTTTCTTCATCCTCTTCATCATCAATAAATGATGCAGCATCATCATCACGACGAGAATACAAAGGAAGATCAAGGTTCGCTAATGATGCTAATTGAGTGTTGGAAACTTGAGTTCGTTTGGTCGTTGTTGTTGACTCATCCTTTGAATTTGAGCTATTATTATTTTGGCTTTTTGAATCTTCAAGCAATTTTTGCAACGTGGATTGCCATTGTTTAAGTTGCTCTTCATTACGACATTTGAGTGAGAAAGATTCCATTTCTATATCTCCTTTCCAAAATACCTTCAAAGACCACGCTATTTGAACGAAATAATTTAGTTAATATATAATATTTAAGGAACGAAAGAGATAATGTGACTTACATCCAGGTTGAGGTTGACTATTGTCTAAAAGAGCTGTTATATTGTGTATAAAAATTCTCCCTTTAAGCTGTAAACTAGTTCTTTTTTGTTTTCTTGAATTACTCTTAATAAGTGGAGTAGATTTACTTTGGAGCCTTCTAGCATTATTTTCTTTACAACAAAGTAAGATTCTTTGAAACAAATATACGTGATATTCACGTTCGGAATCTTCCTTTGACATGATAAACACATCTTCAAGTAATAAACTACCAAATTGAGCAATTTTATGCCCTTTCCAATCCTCAACTCTACGTTCTAAATCTCTAACGATAGCTTCGTTTTCTTGTTTTCGTCGTGTTTCATTAACACGATCGGCTACACGTTTAATAGCCTTAAGGCCTAGCTCAATTTCATCATAAAATGGTGTTTCATCTTTTTCAGAGAATTTTAATAATTCCTAAAAAAATTGATTTTATAAATAAAATTTTAATAATAAAATTATTTTATGAACTTTAATATAGTTTACCTGTAATAATAATGGATATTTACAAATGCGCTGGATGGGTTTAATTAATAACGATGGTAATTCGTATGTTGGTTCTACTATCTTAGCCAAACGCTTTTTTTTTTTTTAAAAAAAAAAAATCGAATAATTTGATTAAAAATAATTAAAATTAAAAAAAGAGACAAATTTTTTTTTTTTTTACCTGCAAATTAGGCGTTTCTTGGATAACCAATTCTGAAGCAGATTGATAATTTGCACAAAATGGTTCGTATACAGCAAAATTATCCTCCTATGTAATTATAATCATAACATATATTTTGGTTTATTTAGAAATTAAATATTTTAATTATCAATTAATGTTTCAACAAACCATTTGTATAAAAAGATTTCCAAATCTTTGATCTGCTGGTGGTTGACTGGCATTAGCTTCTACACCGATAAGGAAACGACGTTGAAAATCTACAAGATGATTAAGGTTTGCAAAGAGCAAATGAATAGTATCTGCGCTTACAATCTCTTGTATTTGAAGTTCACGCGCAAATTTCTAAAATCGCAAAATAGCAAAAAAAAAAGACAGAAGAGGAATAATAAATAATAAATCAATATAAATTGAATCGAAGTTTTTAATTATCTTACCTGTAAAACTTCCATATCTTGTACATATTTTCTTTCTGTTTCTAATAATTCATGTACGACCCTTGCACGGTTATCTGTGGGTTTCATGGGATCCGAATTTCGTAAAAGTTGTCTACGAGACAAATTGAGAAGACCTTTCTCTTCAATTTTGTCTGTGACAAGTTTGACAGTACCAATTACCTAAAAAAAATATACGTAAATAAAGCTATTAATTAATTTCTTAATTATAACCTTGTTATATAAAAATATTTTCCTTCAAAAATTAAAGTAATAAATAAATGACATACATTGACGAAGCCATTCGTATCGTCTTGATACAATTGTGTAATTGTAAAGAGTTGTTCAGACTTAAACTGTAATTCCTTCATGCAAGCTGCCAAAAATTTATACACGCTATCTTTAGGCTTAGTTTCTATTGTTATTTTCAATTCTGTTTGAGGTTTCAAAGCATTGTAAAGAGCGCAAAGAGGATAACCTAACCGAAAAGTTTGCCATAATAGAGTAATAGGATCATTCCGAATTATACTATTCGGACCATTTTCCGAGGTAGGAGTACCTACTATTGAAGAATTATTTGAAACATTGTTTTGTCCTTGAATTAGGTATTGTTCAAACCCTTCCACACAGTAAAGTCGTTCTAGCAAGTCTATACATAGAGGATACAATGATTGTGAAGCTTGTGCAGGTCGATTGAGAGTGTTTGAACCCGTTGGGCTTGGTGATTCTATTGAAGAAATAGAAAGGTTGCCGAAACTAGGCATGGTTCCTAAACTTGGTGTACGCTTAAGTGCACCTCTATTCATGGTTGAGTTGAAATTCAACTTCAATCGAGCCACTAAACACTATTTAAATAACAAGTAAAAAATATTCTATTTTATTTTTTTTTTTTTTTGTTTGAATAGGCGTTTTTACAAGATTTTTGTTTGTTCAGCAATACTCTAAAGTCTTTAACCTTTTTAGGAATAACTTGAGATGATGTGGAAGTCGTCTCGCCCAGCGAGCGTTATTAATTTCCTTGAGCGGTCTCGTAAAAACTTTTTTTTTGATTGAGGAAATAATATCTATAATTTGTTTGAAGTGTTTTTTTTTGTGTTCATTCAATTAAATGGAAATAATAAATATATGCTTGAAGTAATTGGTTTGGGAATTAACCATTGAGTGCTTGCATCGATTTTTATAAACGTTGTAAATTTCCTTATATGATTACGCAATATCTTACACAATATGAATATGAATGTCTCTGTTTCAGATAACAAGCCCAGAATACACTAACACGTGTTTTAACAAACAACAAAAGTAAATTCTTTAGAATTTTACTATTTATATTATTCAATTCTAATCATTTTAAAATCCAAATTTCTATATATACAGTATGTTTAATAAACAATAAAAAGAACAAAAAGAGCTTTACTATTTATCACCGGCGGTGATCATCATCGAATCACGTGAATGTGTTTCGCCAATAGAAAATAATGATTCAAATAGTCTAAATTTTATAAATTTTATTAATTATTGTTATATACTAAATCAAAATTAATTAATTCAAAATTTATTAATCTAAAATGTTAAATCATATATTAAACAAATATCATTAAATTAAATCATAGTATTAAAGGATTAACAAATCACTTGTAACACAAATATTTTATAAAATAGTATATAAAAAAATAATAATAAAAATTATTACCTTCATCTAACTCAGATGGTTATATCAATATAATTCAATCACTTTTACCCTTCTTGCTAGTAAATATTGTTCACAAAATCACTAAAAATAAAGATTGTTGCCTCTTCACCATCACATAATCGATTTTAATTTTCTATCAAAAGCTTTTGAAGATATTTGGAAACATTATTGCAACTTGATAATTAAAGATAACACCTCAATTAGTTGTAACAGGTGACAAATAAGCATCACAATGTTGTAACGAATTGCAATATTATTAAAATTTAAGTTGCAACAGGTAACAAATAAGCGTCACAATATTGCAACACCATCTTTATTGATAATCAAAAAAGAACAGTCATTAGAATCACTAAAGAAGACAAATACAAGCAAAATATCAACTCATTTTTGATATATAAAGAAACATCAGTTCCATTCTATCAATGAGAACTCTAAATACATTTGATGAAAAAATTTGGCTACACATTTTCAGATTTTTAGATAAGTACTGACTTTTTTTTTTCTTTTGTAAATAGCAATTTTCATCAGATATATACTTAGTAAAATTGTTAAAGGAGAAAGATAATGATCAGTCAATTCAAATAGATTTATAATATAATTATAGAAAATAACTAATACTTAGTATAAATTATTTAATTTACTTTGTATTTCTTTTATATAAATTTAATAAAGTTACTGGTAGTATTACATTGTTAAAAATAAAAATAAAAATAATAATAATATAAATTAATAACTTCTATAATTAAAATTGAAATATAATTAATTTATAAATTTTAAAGTTTTATTATAATATCTATATTTATTTGAACATTATATTTATTTAAATATAAAACTTTTGAATATATAAATAATTTTCTATTTTATAATTATTTTTCTTTAAATAAAAATTATTTATTATATATTACTATACATATAATAATATCTAAAAATAATAATAATATTAAAAGTTTTAATGATTATTCTTTAAATTATTAAATAAGCAAATTTATTTACAAATTTATTAATTTTTTAATAAATATAAAATATTAATTTAGTAATATTATTGTTATATTAAAATATATCTAATATATTTTAAAAAAATTTAAATCCTATATTCTCTTTTATAATTTTCTTAAATATTATTTCAAGTTATAAAATTAACAAATATCACCTTAAATATAAAAATGTATTCTGATGATACAATAATATATCATTTTATTAAATTATTAAAAATTTAAATTTTGCTTTTCATGATTTTTTTAAATATCACTTTAAGATATAAAACTAATAAATATCATTTTAAATATAAAATGTATTTTAGGTGATATGGGTTCTTTGTAATAGAAAGGGAGGAAACTACCAAAAAAATTTTTTTTGAGTTAATGTTAAATTTGAACTTATTTTATTAAAAAAATAATATTTAGCTTATAAAGCAAAAAAAAATTTTTTTAGTAGTTTCCTCTCTTTCTATTACAAAGAGTTCATATAACAATATATCATTTTTATTAAACTATTAAAATTTATATATAAATTAAATTATATAAGATAACTAATTAATAGATTATATGTTTCTTAAGTTTGTTATTTTTATGATATACTACATTATGATCAACTTAATCACATATAATATTTATCTTTTTAAGCATTTTGTAGACAAATTTGCCTGCAATTTTATTTAATAACTAAAATTATTTATAATAATTTTAAATATTTTTAAAATAATTTATCTAAAAATTAATATTTTTATAATAAATTTTATGATATTTTCTAAGTAAAAATTCAAAAAAATTGTAATTAATTAGTGATATTTTAAAGATAAATATATGATAAATTATTATGAAAAAAAATTAAAATTTTAAACTTATATATCTTGCTATCTATTAATTTCAGAAATATAAAAATATAATTATTTAATAGGTTTTAATGATATAAATCCAACAAACTAAATTTTATTTTTTTGTAATTATTTTTTTAAAAAATATGGTAATACTCACATTTATTATGAAAATTTAAATTTAATAAGTAAATACATGGAAATCCTAAAAACAGATACATATAATAGAAAAAATAAATTGGACTGCCTAAAATATTCTTGCAAATTAAAATTTACTAGCTTCAGACCAACTAGTTATCCTACTATATTCTGAAGATAATCAATTAATAGAGTCTTCATCAATATACAATAACTAGATTATTATTATGCCTTTTCTTTTATCTAATAATAATTTCTATTTTAAATTTAATTCAATACAAAAATAAATAACTTGAACTATTGTTAAACCAAAAAAGAAGCTAATAAAAAAATATGATTCTAACAAATCTCTAGCTAAATTGTCTGGTTAATTTCTGATTACAGCGACCTTTTATTATAGGAGTGTTCATATTACTAAGTTTCATCAGAAACTCTTTGGTATTCTCAAACTTCTATACTAAAATGTCTATCAATTCAGATTACAGCCATCAGTGATTATTGCATAGAGCTCAAATCACATAGTTGCAAAATTTCTTATAATTATTAAATAATAAATTATTTTAAAAATTGAAAAATTAAAAAATTATTATATAATAATTATTAATTTTAAAAATTTAAACTACTATCATTAAATATATCTTAATATAACAAATTTAATAAACTTTATTTTATCTTTTTATAATCACTAGATTTTAAAATATTATAATTTTTCTATAATAATTTATAACTAATTTATACCTATATTTTAAGGGATAAGTATTTTAGCTTGAAGATTTACCCTTTATATTATAATCTTTCTTTTTAAATATAATGTTACTCTAAAACGTTTTGTTAAATATTGACCTTTGTTTTTATTCTTGATTAGAGCTTTAAATCAAATCAGGTTGATCTGTTTACCTGATCTGACCTGATAAAAATTCAGATTAACCAATCATTTTTCTTGAATGATTTATTACCATTAAATTAGAAATAACAAAGTTGATTAAATAAATTAATAATTAATTATTATATTATTATTTATATTAAATATTTTATGATATTATTTAATGAGTAAATAAGAAAAAAATTTTTTTTTGAATCAGGTTGGATCAGGTCAGGTAAACCTGATCTGATAGATTAACTAATTAAAATATATATAGCTAATAAATTAAAATTTATCATTTAAAAAATAATTTTTTTTCATGTAGTATTTAATAATTCTAGAAGACTTTTACTGATGAAAGGAAATAATATATACGAGTCATGTAAAATCTTATTTATGCTTGACTAAATCACTGATAAGATCTTGGCTAACTTAATTATCAGTCCTAATTCCATCAATATACTGGTCTAAGGATTGCCACTTAGAGTAGTATCCCAGAAGTATAACTCTTAGGATCACTAAATCTTAGAATCACTGTCAAATTTAGATAGAAGGATCACTTTCAGCCACAAGTACTTTTAGTCGATTATATTTTCTATCTTTACCAATACTAATCAAAATCACTATTATCTCTGCCTAGTATTAAAATATATATTACACATGACCAGAAAGGCTTAGATATTATTCATCTTATAGAACTCAAAAAGGTAGGTGACTATTGTACTTATATTATCAAACTCATCCAGAAATTGAACCTGACCTTTATTTCAAGTGACAGTTCGATTAGATAGTTACTGTGACAGTGCAATGCAGTCTATTATCAATCATAATCACCTTAAAGATATCTTGAGATATTACCTAATCTACTAATTACTTTCTTACTTGTATAAGAGTCCTTAAAATTGAAGATATGAGACAATACTCATTATAAACCTGTCAGCGAAGACCAAGTTACTGTTGATTCTTAGCTTCATTTATATTTATTTGTTCTGCAATTTCAGTATTTAGATATGATCAATATTAATTAACAAATCAATCAACCAGTTTCTAACGCATATTAGTATATACGCCTACTTGTTCAGTTACATATAAAATTCTTATGAAAATTATTTAGTTTTATGTCTTAGTTGAGACTTGAACCTATGGCTATTACAGTGTAACCTATAATAGGAGCTCAGTTGTTATCAATTAAACTAGAATTATTAATCCTTTTTTATTGTTTAAAAAAATATTTTTTTTTTTAAAGTGTGGTAGTTTCATAAAATCTTTATTGAAATATAATAAAATAAAATATATATCTGAA